AACGCAAACCCTCCTACGCCGAGGGCTTTAGGGGTGTTGGCGAGCTCCTTCCACGTACAGCATGGCATCTCTGTTTTTGATGTTTATAAAAATGTTGCGCTTCAGGTTTTAGGAGTGTTAAAACCTTCTTGGCAGCACTTGCGATTTGCACCGTATTTTCGTACTATCCGACCACCTGTGGTTGAGCAGTTTCTTCCCCGTCGAGTTTGCAACTCCAACTGCTGTCGCAGTTTTGGGGCCTGATCCTCTGCGACTTCACCGACTGTGACAGGTAAAGAAAGTGAGCCTCTGCAACTTCTGCAGCTGTCACAGATAGGGAGCCTGAGCCCCTGCATCTTCTGCACCTGTCGCAGTTCGGGAGCCTAGAAGCTGCCACTGCCCAGCCCGAGGTCACCTCATTCCATGACGTAGCAGGGCCGGAGCGCCACAGGCCTGGGGCAGTGAGCAGGCTGTGCGGCAGCTGCAACGATCCCTTCTGAGCCAGCAGCAGGGGCGCGCTCCGAGTGCAGCCTGGCCTCGGTGGCGCTGTGGCCGTCCCGAGCAGGCACCACAAAAGCCAGATAGGCATTACATTCAGCACAAGCGATGTCTTTATCGGTCGCTCTGCGAGCCTGCTCATGGTCCCCTTTCACGTACGTCACCCCGTCGTGAAAAAGCAAGGTAACATAATGAACGGAAGTGACAGTGAGACCAAGGTGGTAAATGACTGACGCTAGCATAAACGGTACCCATGTTACCTCGGCCCCAGTTTGACACGGCAGTGTGAGACGCTCACGCAAAGCCAAGCGACAGTGATGCTTGGTGACAGTGCAATCAGCTCGCACCTGAAAGCGCGGAAGCTGCAAATAGGTAAAGGCAGGAGCGAGCAAGCAATACTCGTGCTCTTAATGGTGCCATGCATATGCAAAATGTTGGAGTGTCGGGATGTTTGGAGCGTCCCGTGGGAATGTCATCGGAACTGCCTGGCCCGGTCCTGAGTCGTGCACGTGAGCACGGTCCCCCTCATACATGATGCCATGCCACCTAGCAAGAGCACTGCGCAACCCCAGTCTGGAAACAAAGTACGAGCAAAACTCGCATGCATCATGCTGTTCTCTGGGCCTTGCCCAGCCCATCAGTTGAAAGCTGAGCACCTGCAGCAAGTTAGCCGTTGAGCCGTGCAATATCTGCAACAAGCTTCGTGGCAGTGGCATGTCCGCACAATGAAGACTCCAGACCACAGCAGTAAAGGTGCTGTTCATGTAGCAAAGATTGTGCGGGTTGCAGAGTCGGATGTTTAGGATGTGTGTTGTCAGATCCCGCCTTGACGCATCAGAGGCACCTACACTGCAAACTGCAGGAGGATTTACCCTGTGATGATCACGTTTTGCACCTCGACTGCCCGAGGCAGGAGGGTTTAGTTTGTGCGGCCGGAGTCTGTCCAACCCAGAGCCATCTCTCCCAACCTCCGCGCTTGCCCCGAGCGGCGAAGGGTGTCCCGCTTCACCTGAATCCCTAGCAGATGCCACACCGCATTCCCTGCCAGCTGGGCAAAGTGCTGATGCAGAGCATCTGCCTCCTGTCCTCTCAACGAAATCCCCATCGAGAAGACAGTTGTTGAATCCGGGTCCTCCAGCGCTTCCTCGTGGATGCCGCGGCTGGCTCCAAACTTCAGCACGGTGGTGCCATTCAGGAGCCGGCACCTGTCCATCAGCAACGTTGCCATTTCCGTGGACGGGAGTGGTGAGCGCTGCGGATCGTCGACGAGCTTCCTGGTCTTGCGGTCCCAGCGCTTGTAGAACCAGCCCTGGTCTCCCAGAAGGCCTTTCTGCTTGGAGTTCTCCAAGGCTTGCGGGTCTTTGTCCAGGATCTTCAAACGACCCTCTAGCTCCACAAAGAGCGCCTTCAGCAGCAGGATTCTCAAGGGGTTTTCCAGCATCTGGCCGTTGTCGTACGCCTTCCTCGTCCTCTGGCTGATGTCGAACAGATTCTGCAGGATGCTCCCCTCGTCGTTGTGCAGGAAGAAAACGAAGCCCCTGTCCAACTTGGCGGTGTTGATTTGGTCTTCGTGCTTCATCACCACGCGTGCCAGTTGGGCTACCTGGTCCTGCAGGCTGGCTTGCTCGCGGCTCGTCCCGGGCCGCAGCTGGCGCGGGCGACCTCCGCCTTGTGACTCCTGTCGCTGACATTTGGGGTGGAGCGGTTGCCGGCCGTTTGAGGCTTGGGGTGGTCGGCTCGTCATGAGGCTGGGCAAAGAAGTGCCGAAGATCTCTTGCATCTCCACGCTCAGACCCGCCGTCATCGTGCTCTGCGAGGGTCCTGGGTTGCAGGTGGCGATGCAGCAAGTCGCACTGGTACAGTACTGAGCAGGTAGTTTTATGCCGACACGGCAGTGCAACCTTAAGGCCGCAGAAATCACAAGGATGATGTCTGAAGAAGAGATGCCCCTTTCCTGCACACAGCTCTAGGCCTCGAACATGATGCTGATAGACATCCTTATGAAGGCTGGCAATATGGCGCTTTACCCCGCCTGAGTTAGAGCACCACTGGCCACAGATGCCACAGGTCTGCGCAAGGAGGGGTCTCGCTTCAGCCAGCCTAGCAGCTCGAGCCCAATGCTGCGGAGAGACCAGCAACTCCAGCGCATGCTGCAGTTCGCTAAAAGATCTGGTCAAGCAGTCTTCGACACACAACTCAGTCTGCACTGACATAGTTGAGGTCGGGTCAAGCACAGCCGTTGCCTCTGCAGCTGTCCTGGCAGCACCCAGCGGTTCCGAAGGGAGACTGGATTCAAAAGGCACAAACACTGCGCGCCGGATGTGTTTACGCAAATAATGCCAACTTTTAAATTTGGTGCGGCATCTGCTGCATTGTGGCATACCCCCAATGGTCTGCGAAGCGACCTCAAGCGCCAACTCCACCTGCGCCACTTCGGAGGACCAGACGCCGCTTGACGGCTGCTGCCTCTAGCTCTTCGTCTGAGCTGGCGCCGGATGGACAGTCCTTCCCACCGTTGCCGGCAGGTCAGGGCCCTGACGAGGGAAGGCTGGACTACCTACGGCGCTGCCTGCGGCAGGCCCTTGTCGCCTCGCCGCATCCATCAGCAGCATGGGCACGAGAGAAGTGGGGTAGACCAGATCAAAACAAGTGCTCGTCGTTTCATTCCAATGCCCAGAAGCCACTGCCTAGCTCTGCTGTGAGAGGCCCTACCTGTCTGAGTCTGGAACGGCAGGGGTTGCAAAGTGATGCTGTGACTGACCGTTTGACAGGTGGCGGTGACGGCGACAGGCCATGCCGACTAGCCAAGGTAGCTGTCGCAGTCAGTGTGGCTGTAACCCGGACAAACCCGGCAAACGGGGCGTTTGTCGGGGTGGTTTTCTATTCACTCTGTGCCTCCGGAGTTGCCTAGCAACAAGCCACGGGCATCATTGGGTGTAGGTCTCTTCGTTGCTCTCCTTGGCAGGTGCTTTCTGGCTTCGCTCGGCTGGTGGAGGCCTCGGCGCAGGGTTGTTAGGCTTACCTCTCCCAGGCCAGTATGTTCGCCGAACGTTTGTGCTGGACTGTTGTTTGCACCGTTTGCGCCGTTTCCCGACAGGGCGCGTTCACAATCGCACCGCACGCACAGAGTCGCAGACTTTTCCTACTCGCAGCTTTGAACATCCACGACATCGCACACCCAAGCTACACGCACCCCTCCCACATAAATACCGAGCTGGCCGGGGTCCCAATTCCCTGGCAGTGTCTGGCGACTCCCCCTACTGTGCATTTTACTGCTGTCTTCTTTTGGTACAGGGAGTACCGCCGCCACTGCAAAACCGAGGGTTGTCGAGCCTGCCGCCTCGACGGTACCTGCTTCGGCGGGGAAAGCAGGCATTGAAGCCGGCCCCCGAGTCACATTTAGCTTCGCTGCCAAGCGTGCCTACCGCAGAGCACGCAATCGTGCCCATTTACATGGACAAACAAATTACAGGGGAGCTCTTCACACTTCGGAAACATTGAATGCACTCCAGGGTGAGCCGCTGCCGCTCAGGCGGCGCCCACGTACCACTTCATCTCATGACAGCCGGCGTCGGTTGAATCTTCTCAGCTACAATTGCGGGGGATTTACTTCTGCGGCGTGGGCTGAGTTCACGTACTGGCTGGACTCTCAAGCTTATGATGCTGTAGTCGTCCAAGAGACCCACTGGCAATCCGAGGGCTGTTTCACCTTGCCCCGGTGGTACTGTATCACTGCTGCTGCGCCCCCGGACGACAAATACTCGGGTATTCTTGTCATGGTAGCGCCCAAACTGGCCCGTTCAGAACATGTTAGATACACCGTGCTACACCCGGGGCGCTTGCTACATGTGAAGATTGGCGGCCTAACTGTCACTCATTCATCCATTGATGTATTGGGCGTGTACCAGTACGTCTGGCGCAGCACGGCCACCAAGGCTGAAAACCTTGCCAATCGGGCTGTCATTTGGAGCCGGCTGGACAAGTCTGCAACAAAGCTCCCTGCGAGAAACACCCGCTTAGCGGTGGGTGACCTGAACACCCGCCCACTGCCTGGCCTAGGTATTGAGTCCCGGCATTTGTCACACTCTGGACCGCAGGATGCGGATGCTTCGAAGTTTCGTTCCTTCATCGATGCCGCGAATCTCATGACCCTTAACACCTGGTCAGGCCGCAAAGCTTTCATGCACCAACATGCGGGACATCGCACAATCATTGACTACTAAGGACTTAGCTGATATGCAGGCGCGCCGCAGCGCTCCGGTGCACCACTGCCCCCTAGCATCCTGGAAGGACAGCATTGGCCCGTTGCAGCCAAGCCAGTGTAAGACTACGTCAGGCCTGGATGCATAGGCGAGCACGTGGCACGCGATCCATTGATGTCCAGTCCTTGAGGTATGCTGTTCGGCATGACACGCCACAGGCTGCGCAACTACAGGCCATTGTTGATCGCAAGTTGCGCACACTGGTCGTACCGACCACGGCGGACCACAATTACATGCTGCGATCAATACCTGCCTCACGCAGGCTTGCGCCGAAGTCTTCCCGCTCAGGGCTATAAGCAGCCAACCGACGCGCCTCATCAGCAAGCCCTTAAGCGCGACATTAGCATCAGCTTGCAATCGCTGTGGGCTGCTCGGAGGGTGCTCCGCGAAGCCAAAATGCACACCGCGCGAGCGCTTACAGCGCGTGTGGACTTGCCTGCGCCTTCGGATGCTGGTGAGGATGCTGGCGCTGCGCAGCAACCTTATCGCTTCCGGCTTTGATCGGTCATCAACCAGTGGAGAGCGGAAACACAATGCCGACGCATTACCACACAGCTTCACAAACAAAGTCGTCAACGACGGCATGCTCGCTGGCAGGATATAGCTTCGCAGGTCCAGGAGGCCGATAAAGGTCGCGACTCCCAAGTCAAGCCCTGCACGCCGCCTTAAAACAATTACAACCGTGGAAGCCGCGCACTTAGGGATGGGCAAGGAATGCTCCTTTCACCGCACGCAGAGCTTGACACACTAAAGCGGCATTGCCAATCTGTGTTCGCAGTCCACGCCGAACCTCCACCTCCTGCTACGCTCAAGCAGGGAACAGCGCCGACTGCTGATGAACTTGCGCGTGCCATTAGTGAAACTTGGGTAAACAAAGCTGTCCCATCTGATTGTGCGCCGGCGGCAGTGTGGCGGCTCGCTGCTGGTGGCGTTGCTCAACTTCTGTCGTGCTTCCTTGAGGGCAGCTGGATCGAAGGGGCTAGGGTGGACCTAGCCGGTGGGTGGAGGGATACGGAGATGGCGTTCATCCCTAAACCCCCGAAACCTCCCACACAGCCACAGAATCTGCGCCCGTTGGGGCTGATTTCCCCGCCAGGTAAAGCCATCGCTGCGTGGGTCAAAATATACGACTGGAGGAGTTCCTAGCTCCAGTGATCCTCACACTACCGCAGTTTGCGTACACGGCTGGGAGATCCACCTTGGACTGCTTACTGCGCGTGCAAGCACACTTTCACTCCACGCGCAAGCTTATCTCCTCGATGACGCCCTCCATCTATCAACGCCGAGACGGCGCGAAGTCAGCGCCATGCTACGGTGGCTTGACACTGTCTGTGGACCTCCGTGGCGCGTTCAATGAAGTACCGCGGGACAGGCTTTACCAGTGCTTGCAGTTGCTGCAGGTTGATGCTGACCTGCTAACCATCATCCAACATCTGCGCTGGCAGTCTCGCTACTTTGTGCACAACGCTTCGGGTCGTACTTCCGTCACGTCGTCTAATGGAATCAAACAGGGGCGTCGGCTTGCGCCGTCATTGTGGCTAGGGTACACCTTAGTGCTGCTGTGGTCCATCCGTGATGTGCTTGGTGATGACTACATGCGAGCCTGTGTAACGTTGTTCGCCGATGACCTCCTCAGTTCGCAACAATTCACCACCTGGTCTGAGGCGGTGCAGTGCATTCACAACATACAGGTCGTCCTCACCCTACTGGAGACGATGGGCATGAAAATTAATTTTGACAAAACGGCGGCGCTACTAGCGGCGAGCGGCCCTCTCCACCGGAAGCTGAGGCGCAGGCTTATTGTAAAGAAGCACAACAAGCCACATGTGTCACTGCAAGTTAGCGGATGTACTGTCTTGATCCCTCTAGTCTCCTCGCACACATACCTGGGTACCAAGATCTCGTATCGCAATGCTCCCGAACTCACAGTCCAACACCGGCTTTGTACGTCGGGCCGGAATTGGCAGCCGGTTAAGCGGGCGCTTCGTATAGGAAAGACATGCTCACCAGACGCAAGCGAGTTCAATTGTGGCAATCCAGCGTCAGGGCTAGCCTGCAAAATGGCTTGTCCACAGCGTTCCGTGAGGGTTCAACAGCCGCCAAGAAATTCGGGGCAAGACGTGTCGCCAGCTTCGTAGCCTCGCACACCTGCCGGTACACATCACGGGCTCATCACGTGTGTCAACAACACTAATCTTCTCAGCTTACTTGCGACTGCGGACCCTGCGCAGGTAGCGGCAGATGCGCGGCAGATGCGCTGGACAAGAGACTTCAACAACTTCAGGACATTGAGCGCAGTCAGCCTAGCAACATTGTCTGTTTTCCGAGTACCCTCGACTACGCGCGAGAGCTCCTGCAGCACCATCGTAGTCAGCTGCAGACGGAGCAGGCTGCCCAATGCGATAGCGGCTGCTGACTTAGCCACCGGCTACTCCAAGGCCTGCCCAGATTGCGGGGTCTACTTGGCCTCCACTAAAGCCGTGCGAACTCACAGGGCGCGAGCTCATGGAGTACACACAGTCGAACAGCCGCTGACCCCGGCGTCCAGCTCTGTTGGCTGCGCTGCTACTGGGTCGTAGTTCCGAGCTAGAAGACGAAGAAGAGGCCAAGTTTATCTCTGGAACACTATCCACACCTGCACCGCTTCCAGCGGGAGGATTTACAGGAGCAGCAGGCAAAAGAGCATGCGCTTGACGCCACTGGAGGCCGGCAGGGAGTACAGCGCAACACCACCGACTATCCCTGGACCACCCGGCTGTTGACGAGCCTGATTGGTCAGGCGGGCCTATACATCGATTCAGCTCGTGAGCGCTTTTGTGCAACGTCATGCATTATCTACATCGGGATACGGCCAATGTTCCCGATACCCACAACTTGATCATTCCTCGCGGGCGCTGGCAAGGAGGACAACTGTGGATTTCGGACCCAAGCGGCTCGGTCCATTTGGATACCAAGTCAGGCCCAGGCCGTCTGCATGCACTTGAACTGCCATTTGTCACACTTGATCCCCGCAAGCCGCACTCGACTTTCCCTCGGCACGGGGATCGCGTCATTCTGGTTGCATATCATGTCAAAAATTTGTTGGAGCTTGAGCGGGTTGCCCAGTGGTCTACGCGGGACGGTTGAGTGACTTTTACCAGCCTTGTGTTGTTAAGCGTCACTCATGCGTTTCAGACTTGCTGATGTGGATCAATAACGGAACAACCACTTCTTTTATGAGACACCGACTTGACTGGACACGGGCCGTAGCCTGCTTCGTTCTCGAACAACGGCTTTGGATGTACAGTGTCTGGTCATGTCGAGTTTGTACGTGGTGAGAGCGCTGGTCACTCTGGCATGCCTCTTGGCCGTACGCGGCGTGGTATGCCACTCTGTCTAGGGACAGTGCAGTATGTGCGTCGCAACAGGGACCAGGCAAATGCCTGACCACATGTCTTGTCGCACAGCCTGGACCTCCTTGGCAGCGTGTAAAACAAAAAAACACACCACCATCACCACCACCACCACCACCACCACCACCACCACCAGAACCACGAACCACGAACCACGAACCACGAACCACGAACCACAAACCACGACATCCGACGACGATCACTAAGATTGAAGCTACCGACGACGATCACTAAGATTGAAGCTATTGTAACTCAGGCAAGATTTGCCGCTGGCGAGGCGGCACTACATGCAAAGTGCCGCTGCAGACCCAGGCGACAAATCTTGCGAAATGGAGGAGCCAGGGCTGATGTTTTCTTTATGGGCTCTGGAGTGTTTAGGAGCTTGTCGGACAAAGGTTTCTCCCGAGTCCTGTGCCCCTGACGGCTTTACGCCATAGAGTTTTTGAGGGACCACGAAGCATTCGGGTTCTGGCAGGTGGCACACACACGCCGATCACAATCATGGCTTGCCTCCTGAGCCTCCAGCACTTTCTGGCGACTCCGGTTGCAAGCACAGGAAGTCTTCAAGAGTGCTTACAAGCTGCCAATCTGTCCGTGGGGACGGCGAGCTCATTTGCATTCTGCGCTGGAACTCGAAGGGCTTTACGTCTCACGGCTGTAGCTCTAGAAGTGAGCGTCCCGCACTCCCAGACCCAACACCGACAATTGCAAGGGCTTCGCTGCTAAGGTCGACATGCCGAAGCCCGAGGCCGTCAAGCCGACAAGTCCTTCAGTGGGAACCTTTTGTGGAAGTTGAGCGGACTTCAGAAAATTCCGTGCGAAGCCCCTGCAGTCTGACATGCTCAGAATGGAGTGTTGCAAACATACCCTTGTTGCCAGCATGTGACAAGTTCCACTTTAGTCTTCTGCAGAATGGCTGCTCTTCACGGACAGTTTTGACACCTAGCTTCAGGGCGAGCGAACATTCCTAACTAGGGTGATGCATTGTCTTTCCAAGCCGATGTTCAACATGAAGCCCGCACCTAGCCCCAGCGAACCAGCAGCTTCAGAGGTTTTACACTGTGATGCTTTTTCTGCAGGCCATCTGCAGCACACTTCTCAGTGCCTCGTGTAGTCAGGCCCAAACATTGTGTTGCAAGAGGTGCTAGCAGCATCTGTTCTTGGCGATGTTCGCTTCCACATCTTGTTGGCGGCCGGGCTTGATCTTGATTGCACTGCTGCCTTCGGGGTGCCTCTCGACCAAGTGAAGTCTTCTTCTGCCAATACGAGGCCGAGCACTCTTTTCTGAGGTTCACCTGGTGGCTATCATAGTCCTCTCTGCGTTGCGGTCGCCCCTTGTCATAAACCAGCCGGGAAACGAGAACAGGAGGGTTGCTGCATGTCTGTGTGACTCTCTTCCGTTTCACATCCTGTGCTTGCCCGCCAATACGTATACAACACGAGATTTCTTCGCAGCCCCTCGGCTTTACCAACTTTATGCGAGACCGCTGTCAGCCTCCTTAGTCCAACCCAGCAAGCACGCAGGGGCAAGCATGCAGAATCATGCAGGGCTTCTGGTAAAGGGCCTGCGGAAGTCTGATCCAGTCGCCCAGCCCCTTCACTCCCCCAACAACACATCTGCAGAGACATATGCCCTTGACGCTTCACCTCGCTGCTTTTTTCGCTGCCCCTCCAATGGAGAGTGGCCGGCAGCAGCGTGTGCTGGAGCCACTCGGCTGACCCTAAGATGCTTGTCACAAAGTCAATCTTGTGGACACAGTTTCAACGCTGTTTCTCGAGTGCTGACGGCTCATGATGAAGGACCATACGGGTGACAGCATGACGCCGTTCGAGGGAGTCTCTAGAAGTCTTCTTGCCAGAGGAAGATGGCTTGGCTCGGATGCGGTCCACCAGAAGAAGTCCCGGTCCCTACCTGCCATACTGCCGAATGGCACGCAGTGTTCCGATGAAGAAGTATCGCAGCGTCTGGTAAAACAAAGAACATGAACACGAAGTCGACAGCTTGACAGGTCTTTGCTGCTGCTCAACCTGCTGTTCAACACGCAATTTGCTTGTGATACCTCCATGGAGGTAGATTCGATGTCGTCGCCACAATGCGAAGAGGAGGGTAGCAACACTAAAGTATTACCCCCATAGCATACCTGCACGATGCTGCTGCAGGTCAGAGAACGCAAGAGTAGAAACTTGATGTCTTCAAGCAGCGCAGGAGACTAGACATGTGGCCTCCCACACCCGCTCAAGAAACTCAGGCTCTTGCGGCAACTCGATGGAGAGCTGCAGGGGGGCTTGAGGCTGGCTTTCCGGCCGTCTGCCGAGCCGTAGCAAGGATAGCCAGGCTTTGGTGAAGGCAGGAGATCTTCAGACGAAGACGACAACACAAGACTGTCAGACACTTGGTACGCTTCCACCAGCCTGTCGAAACGTTTTTTGCGGGTCAGTCTGGTTTGTGCATAGCTTGTTGGATCTAGGAGACCAACTGAAGATTCAGATCCTATTTCCCTTCGTTTCCATTGACATGGTGACAAAGCGAGAAGTCCCCATGCAGTGCAGGCCCCGGCACCTGGCAGAAGTGCTCACGAGCCTCGGCTTTGAGCCCGGCGCCGCGCCTCGGCAGAAGTGCGGAGATGTGCAGAGCGCAGCCCCCGAGCCGTCCTTGCTCAGAGGCAGAGAGAGTGGTCAGCCTGTTTCGCGAAGCGCCTCTTGGCAAGCACCTCCATGTCCGTCTGTGTCTCTTGAAGTGTCAAGGAACCTGCGCATCGCATTTGAACTTCGACTGAAGAAGCTTCTCTACTCGGAGCCATACCCTCATCTGGTGTTTGTTGCGGTTGAGTCTCAGGACGGGCATCCCTGAAGACGAGCCGCAGGAGCGCCTCCATGTGACCCGCCGAAGTCGAGTTCTTTTCGGGCTTGGGCTTTCGGGCTTGAGATGATGGCACCGTTCAGAAGCCCTCAGATCCGTCGGGATCCCCTCGGAGTGTTTCGTTTTCTCATGGCCATGCTCGTGCATGCCTTGATGATCGGGTGATACGGCGAGGTAGCATTCATCGAGTGGTTGTGTGACATCCACGACGAGGCAAAAGGTGCCCCGGCCTTCCGAGAAGGGTTGAACATAGCCGCTGTCCCCACGACGGGGTCTTCAGGGCAAGTCGCTCTCAAGCTTTGAGGTGGTTCCTGCGGGAGCGAGAGTCTAACGGAAGCGCCAGCGCACGAGGCAGCCGAGCAGGCGGAGGGCGGGACGGCGGGGGCTTAGCCTCAGCTTCGTGGCCCATCGCCAGGACGACGAGCTGCCCTTGCCGCTGGACCTCAACGCAGATCTGCGGACGGGTGTCGAGCGACAGCGTCAGGTCTCTGCGGGGTCTGAGGCCTGCAGGTTGCAGCAGAATCCAAACTTTGTCTAGACCACAGGCACATGTACGAAATTCGTTTTGTTGAAATTCAAGATGAAGAGTTTGTTCTGCTTGGCAGAGGCAGTGCATGGTTGCAGTCCGCTTGTGCTCAGCGTTGCCCTTAGCCGCCTTTGCCACAGATGACCGCCAGCGTGACCGCCAGCTTCGGCGTTGGCTCGGAGGCAGAAAGCCGCTTGGACTCAACATGGCACTGAAAGGGAACGTTTATCGCTACAGAGAGCCAAAACACTTCAATTGCAGATTGACTTTTGGGTGGGGTCGGATTTGCTGAGAGCTACTGCATTGGAACCCGCAGCCCGTTGAGGTGTGCAGGGAAAAGTGAATCATGTTTCAGTTTTTAGGATACTTGTGGCAATAGTCGGGACTTCGCGCCTTTGCTTTCCAGCTCACCGACTCACCGAAGTGTAGAGCCCGAGCTGCAATGCTGTGCGATGAGCTCAGGCGCTTTTTCCATGGACAAGAGACCAGGCCAGTTGCATTGTTACATGTTCTGGGCATGACCCTCTAGGCCTGTTTGCGCTTGCACATACCATGCACAGTGCACAAGCTACTTGGAGTGGGCACGCCTTTGAGAGAACGCTGGGGTGTTTTCCACACTCATCCATGGTGCTGAAGAGTCTCAGGTCATCCAAAGCTCTACACGAGGAGACCGTCCATGATGAATAGGCGCTCTTGACTGCAGCAGTTACATGAAGCCGTCCTTCGGCATTGCAGATTGTAAATTTTACGTATTTTTACGTAGATGAGGGGGCTCCCTTTGCGGAGATAGTTATGTCGACCACGGCACATCGTGTCAGGCTCCACGCGAGTAGTGAAGCATGTGGAGGTGTTTCTGGGACATGGGTACTTAAAATGGAAGGTCAATTGTTTGCGGGGTCCAGTAAGACCTTTTCGAACTTCGCATCCAAGATGTGGGTGACTGTGGTGAAGCCATGTGAAGCCTTTGTGATGCGTTCCAGATAAGCATGACCGAGGTTGTTGTAGAGCATTTAAATCCGAGCGAGGCCAAAGCCCACCCTCAAGGGCATCGGGCGCCGGCTGAGTGTTGTGTCCTGACTTGCCATGGCAAGGGGTGCTTTCAGGGGGGCTTGGGTCAGGGTATGGTGTATGGAGATGTATGGACATGCGAGCCAAGGAGATCTCCGAGCGCATCTTGGAAGGTCGGGCCAGCCCTCGTACTGCGTTGCACTGCGGCGCTGCCTTTTGCTGCCTTGCCTTGGCCGCAGAACTCGACGAGTCGACCCCTTGGGCCAGCTCCTTGAAGCCGGACTTCATGACCGACATCAAGGAAGAGGAGCCTGGATCGAGCATCTCGGCAAGGATTCTGAGATTTCTTGATTTAAGACAGGTCGTGGACGTGATCGGCATGGTGTAAGGTTATGATAAAAATTTACGGGGTGGGACTGATTCAGTGATAAGCGTAGCGGCACGCGACTTCCTCCTTCACCGGATTTGGGCTTCACAGCTGATCAGTCGTCGAAGTGGTGATCGCTGTTGCACCATGAAGCCCAGGGACGATCTTAATCTTCGATTGGGACGACACGCTGCTTCCAACCACGGTCACGGCCCTATCACAAACCAAGTCGGTCGTCAAAGAAAGCAGTGTCTGTGGCGGTCTTATCATCCGTTCGCGAGGCTTGCACCGCCGACATGCGTGCCGAGCCCACTGACGAGCAGCGGCCCGCCAGCGCCTTACGGAGCGGAGAGCCCTCGAAGAGCGGGGCGACTCTTTGGTCCCGCATCGACATGGAAGGCCATGGAGGCCCATGCGAAGCTCGTGAGCGACACCCTTCGCCTCGCCTCCTCCATTGGCCGCGTGGGCATCGCCTCTTGGCCCGCCGTGGCAAAGCTGCATAGACGTGGCATATCATGGCATGGTGTCTCTTTCAAAGGTGACCCTGGCTGCGTCGCTTGGTGGCAGTAGCAGACTGCTCTGTTCTTTGCGGCATTTTGGGCGGCTTTGTGTTTCAGGCGGCCCTGGCTCCAGGTCTCGGCGAAGAGATACATGCCCGGCACGGAGCCAAGTCGGGACTTGGCGCCTTCGCCTTCCAGGGAGAGCGCAAGTGAGGCATCAACTGGGAGAAGTTGTTTCACGAGCTGGACATCCCGATCGTGTATGCGCGAGAGGCATGCGGCAATCCAACTATGCTGGCCAGGCACAACGTGTTTCTGTTCAAGAACCTGCCTACCTGCAGGTGCTGGACAAGTACCGAATGATGGCAGCATCGCAGGACGACTGGGCAGACAAGCAGCCAGTCAGATCCAGAGCCGATGGCAGGAGCCGGGAGTGGACCTTTACGTCCAGTGCAAGCGGAAGGCCATGAGCCAGGCCTGTTCACCACGTAAGGCCTGGTTTTTGCTATACCTCACGCCCAAGTGCAGGCTTTGAAGCAGCTGGCAGGCGAGAAGTCAGAAGGGAGAGCGATTTGCGTTTGCCATAGCGCGTGCATCGGCTTGGACCAGGTAGCGCCCGGTCCTCTGAGATCGTTTTCGTCTCCGTGGGCGACTCTCAAGTTGAGGTGACTTCCCCATGTAGAGTCGAATCTAGAGACGCTAGGACCGCTAGGGCCGCTAGGAAGGGAAATGAAGAAGGCGGAAGCAGCTTGTTGTGTGCGCGAGATGCCCGCAGGCTGAAGCTGCGACTGATCTGGCCCCTGCCTCAAAGTCCGCCTGCGCAGGAGGCTGAAAGCTTGCGACTGAGGTCTGGTGTCGTGATCAAGGCCAGATGTCAGCTTTGCAGCCTCGGAGCTGTTGCAGTACACTGTGATACTAGCCGCTAGCCACCGGAGCTTCCTCAATCAGAACAAGTCGTCAGATGTGTCGGTTCAGGGGAAGGAACACGCAACATTCTCCGCCTCGTGCTTAACATGTCACTCGCTGTGAGCAGCTTGAGGTATCCAGCATCGGATCATCAAGTTGCAGGACGAACCCACCATCGAGGCAGGGGCTTGGGTTTGGCACCTGGGCGACTCGCCATCGGCGTCTGCCCTTGACGAGCCCCCTTCACCCATCTTATCCCATCTTCAAATCGTCCGCGACGTTCACGAGTGGCGTCTGAGCTTCGCTCGCAGGATTTGACGAACCAGCTGCACGAGCTCCAGGAAGTCCTCCCCAGAGTGCGGCTTCGGCTTGTCTTGGCACTAAGGGAATTGATGGGCGTTGTAAAATGGCCATTGAAGCTGAAGGTGCGGAGTTGAAGGCGACACACGCTTTGAGCCGCTGGGCAGCAGAGACACGAAGCGCAAGCCATGGCCGACCTGGGAACCCACTTGCGGAACCCACTGTGAACGCGGATGACAGTTTGACACGACTGAGGCTAGCGAGCGCAAGGTCTGAGCTCGAGGCACTTGGAGCTGCATAGCCGAGGGCAAGGAGAATCAAGATCTGTACAAGGGTTCCACTGTTCCACGCTTCAAGCTGTGATGCTGCTTGCCTTGGCCGAGCTCGTTCAAAGCTCCTGTCATTGTTGCGCCGCACATGTAGCCTACTCCCGTGTGACGGAAGACTACTTGCGAGGAACGAGTTTGACATAATTAGCTGGCTTCAATGCATGGAGCTCAAGTCGTAGCGCCGCTTCTTTGCAGAGGGTTTCGGGACAGGTTCAGACTGACATCATGAGGCCACAACTGTTCGCGATCCAGATTTTAACCAACATTTCGGGATGCTTTCCTGAACACTCCTGCTACCCTTTTACGTCCAGAGCAGGTCTGAGTCTGCAGGTTGGGCTGAGCGATTTCTGATGTCACAGGCTAGGTCCACTAAGGCTCGACCAGGTTGGGCCACTGCAGTGCTTTCTGTGCCTCTTATCTTTTCGACGATTCGACAGTCCAAATCCTGAGTTCTCCCGATGAAAAAACTTACGGTGGTGCCCGCCAACGTCAAGCTGCAGGTTTTCAAGAGGACCTGCTCTGTGATGTTGTGGCCCTTGAGCGGATCGCTTTCGGGTTGACAGGCGGAGGCATCGAAAGCCATGTACAGCAGCTCTGGACACAGCTCAAGGGCGATTTCCGTGGAATCGATCACTGCCTCCAAGAGGCAAAGCTCCTGGCCAGAGCTTTTTCGAGACCCTCCCGCCCCGTCACCCCCGCCACTCTCTGGCCCGAGTGGCAAATCCGGATTGCTGCTGCAAAACACCGAGGCTGACAATTCTAGACCGTCTCGACAGCGGCAAACCAGATTTTCAGCTCTTTGTTACATCGGAGCGGACTAGCGACGACAATAGGGAATTTCGGGTGTCGGCCCCAGTTCAAGCCATAATTCCAACTAAGGTGGCCCTAGAAACTTGGTCAAGGCGGTGAGGAAAACACTGTGTCCGTCCCAGGATGCTGACACAGACACCGCGACCCCAAGCAGTGCCGCGGACCGAGAGAGACCACCAGACCGATCGAGACGGTCCCTTCGACGAAGGCGCCTCCGAGAGTGCGGGGATCCAGCTTTTCAGACATGACACGGAGCACTTAGCACAAGTCCCGTTCGCGTTCGCGTGAGTGCGGTGGCAGGGGGTTTTACGGTAACATGTAGTGCTGAATTCCAAACCAGGCGTTGTCATGATGTAGGACTTCTAGTCTGAAACCACAAGTCCCAGTGAGTGTAGCAGAAGGCAACGGAAGTGTTGCAAATGCACTGCAACAAACATGCACGGAAGTACCGCACACGTGACCAGTGTGACCCGGTGATCCTTTCGCCAAATGTATAGGCCATTATAGGCCTCAAGACTTCACCTCTGAAACCCCTGCCATCCCTGACAAGGGGATGATTCGGATTTGTTTGAGTTGCAGCCGCCTACCATGCGCCGTGGCCACGCGCCCTCGCGGTCGCCCCGCTCGGGCTCGCCGGTGGATAGTCTCCGCCGTCGACGCGCGAGATCCCGCTCGCGATGAGGAGCTGCCCGCAACCCAGCTGCGATGGCAGCAGAGCGGGTTCTAGGGCTTGCTTGTTGTGCGATCTCTCTGAGGTTGCCTCCGACTGGCGTGGCTTGGGCTTGGGGCAAAAAGAGACGTTCGCTTGCGGTTTTGCTGTGGAGCTCTCCTGGACTCTCCCGTATAGAGGGACCCCTGCGTTTCATGAAAGAACAGAACCAAGGAAAGATTTGTTTGTGGTGCAGTGCATCAGACCGACTAGCAGCTTTAATAAGTTCTACAAAATCACTTGGCTGCAGAGGCGTGTTTACGATTCTTCTTCTTTGGAAGTCCGGGGAGAAAGGATCTGCGTACATGAGAGTCATGGCTGTGACTGCAAGCCGATTCCAGTGCACCTTATATAGTATCTCCGTGGCTCATCAGCAACACTTCAGGCTGTGGGGTCTTTCGTCAATACCTAGCCTAGTCGAGGCTGGCTTTGGCTTGGCTGCAGGCCTTAACCGCTAAACCCCCAACCTCACGGATTAGCCGTGAGCCCTCAGACCCGAAGCACCAATCCCTCGTCGCCTGCTGCCGGACTTCGGTTTATCTCGGGTTAGGGTTTTCAGGATTCATGAATTGAAGTGAATTGAAGTTGACGGCTTGAGACTCAACCAGACCCCGATCGCGGCACCCTGATGTTTGAACAGTTGGGAGTCCGGGAGAGGGGTCGCGGTAGTGTAAGAGTCGCAGGTCGAAAACTATTTCTACAGTGTGCGCAAGAATGTCTTCGAGTACGATGACGCAACAAGCTCAGTTTGAGGAAAGGCGCTTGTGATTCGCGACTGCGCCTGGCCTAAGCTGTCCCGAACTTGGGACCTGACTCATGCATGAGGTCATGGACACGCAGCGAAAGATCGTGTACGGCTTGCGCCGTCGGGCTTTGCTTGACGATGATGAGACGATCAGGCTGGGACATGCAAGTTTTGTGAAGATCTGCAGTGCGTCTGAGTCTTTTGGCAGCATAGTCGTCGGCAGTCTGGAGTCAGATCTTGCGTAAGCGTTGCTGCTCTTTGCTTCTGCCATGGCTCCAGTAATCCATACTGCCTTGGGGTCACCGGCATAATCCGCAATTCGACCTGCATGGCCCCCGGCCTCACAGAATCTTAGAAAGAAGCAGGCCCGAAATCTGAAAGTTTGCAATACGTCTCTGAGCGAGGGTTCACACGCCGCACGAAAGCTAAGCTGACTACCAACTGTAGCCCCGACGACATGATCTATTGTGCAAGCAGTAGATTCCCGAGTCCCTGGCGGTCCCGATGTCGCGGTTTGCTGCCTGGGCAAAGAAGCAGCAAGAGGACAAAGGTGAAGGTCTGGTCCTGGCGGGGCCCTGAGCAACGAGAGCCCAGCGCCTTTGGGCCCCAAGCGGCCAAGGCTGGGATTCCCATCGAGAGCCTGCCAAAACGGCAGCTGGAGCCCTTCCTCGTGGACAACAGCCACCGGTCCAAAACGACTCACAATCACAACAATCACAACAGTTGCAGAAAGCCGGAATCGTAAGTTGAGGCCTCCTCGCCTCGCACAGCGCCGGGCTGCGATATCGCAGCGCTCGAGACCTCGTGGACAAGAACCAGGCGGAAACGCTGGGAGAGAGGCAGAACCTTAGGATGTGGTGCCGGGTGCCTTGCGCGTGCGGCACTCGCAGGCTCTGAAGTCGGCCCGGTGGGGAAGTGTCGTCTGGGGTGTCCTGGACGAGGATGGCCAGTGGCTCAAGGTGAAGGCCGGGAGCAGCTTGGCTGCACAAAGAGGCAACGGAAGAAGCAGCGAGTGCCTGAAGTTCCGTTGTGCCGAGGATACCTTCCAGCGCGGATCTTGGAAGCGGCTTCAGACCGCCCGGAGCTCGGAGAACATGCACTTGCTCGCTCAGGTTCACATCGGTGGAATCCAGGTCCTCAAGGCCGCAAAACTAAGACGATGCTTGGATGAGGACTTGGCCGTGGGTTTCCTGACACAGGTGCTGCCTTCGGCACCAACTCGCGAGGATTCCGAGGATGAGGCTGGGCCGCAGAACTCAGGGAGTGCAAGGGCAACTGTGTCTGCCAAGGACAAGCAGATCGCAGAGCCCCAGACGCGGTTGGGCAGTCTCAAGGCTGTTGCTCGCACTAGCCGAAGCTTTGGCTAGAGATGTATGCTTGGAGCATGCTTTGTGGATGCGGGTTTACAAGGAGAGTTGTATCATTTCGATCTCCGATCTTGGCACATCTATGATCGTACTCTCCCAGTGACTTTGCCGCAAGGTGCCTAGCATGTTCCGGCCCGTGACAGAGGCAAGCAGGGATGGGATGCTGCAAAGTGCCGCTAACAAGCGAAAACTGCCGGACAGCACTTGCGCCGGAAGCGCGCAGCCCTGTGTCAGTTTAACACCATTCGCACCGACTAGCTTCTGGTAAGGATGCTTCCATCGAAGCACTGGGCCATGGCGCATGGTATCATGTGTCTTGGCATTCAGCGTGGCTCACCTTTGCTTGGCCCTCTTGTGTAAAGTGGCTAAGCGGTCGGCTGGGTCTGTGGTGAGGTTGTCGCCGAACGTGTGGCAGTGCGCGAGGGCCCGTCGTTGGGTGCTGCAGCAGTAAGTTCTCTGCGACGAGGCACCGAAAAAGCTGCTTGTATTATTGGTAGTGTTTGCCTCCTTAGAGCCTTTGGCAATGATGCTTCTGCCAACCGGTGCGAGAATCAGAATTCGTTTAAGCGTACATACAGGCTGTGACATGAGGGTCGCAGCAGCTGCAGCAAAGTCAGGTAAGTAAGGATCAATTGCACTTCTTTGCCGAAGCTGCAGCTGCGACGACATTGCAGAGGTAGCATCTTTCTCTGTGCTTTGCAGGTGCCGATGTCGAAGTATTTGGCTGGGATGTGGCTGGGCCTGGAAAGCCCCAAGAATTGCATGTGAGAAACCCTGGCACCCGCTTTCCTCAGAAAGAAAGAAAGCCATGTGGCCCTTTCCTTGTCACCTCGAGAGTTCGAGGTAAGCATGCAGCAGTTGCAAGCCTACCTTCCACAACCTTCTTCACTGATTAGGCCTCCATACTCCTGATGGCAACCACCAGAACTGGTTGTCCAGAAGAGTTTATGAGATAGGTCGCTTAGTTCTGGGCGAACTTTGCGCCGAGCCCCGGTTTAGGAAGTTTAGGGTTTAGGGTTTTAGGGTTTAGGGTTTAGGCTTTCGGCTTTAGGGTTGAGGGTTTAGGGTTTAGGGTTGGGGGGGAGAGGGGTGAAACACTGAATGTTACACATCCAGGTGCCTGTCTGTTTCACGTATCACTTGCATGTATCCATGCCTGTTGCTCAAGGTTCTAGCAGAGTACGATCTACAGCTGTGCACCTGTAGTAAAAGAGACTCCTGTGTGCCTGT